GGCCATGGAGTAGGGTGCAGGACCTTGTGATGGGGTGCAGTCCCAGGGGATGGGGTGCAGCACTGCCCTGGGGCCGGATCCAGAGCAGGAATGCTGGAGTCCCACTCCCATCACCTTCTCCTGCTCAGCCATGGGAACACAGGGCACTGTCACAGCCCTGCTGGGATGTGCCTGCTGCCAGCCTGATGTCACATGGCCTGGGCATCCTGGCACCAGGTGCCTTTGGGACCTGTTATCCTGGCACTGGGCACCACCAGATCTCGGCATCACGACACTGGGCACCACTGGATCCTGGCATCACAGGGCATCCCACTGCCAGGGTCACAGCACCCTGGAAAGATGGAGCTGATGTCACCACTTGTCACAGTGCACCAGCAGTGGGGTGGGACCAGAGCCTGGACTGTCACAGCCCTGTTCTGGAGGCAAAACTCCTTGCAGGAGCCATCACCTTTCCCTTTGGAAAAGCAGATCCCACCCGTGCTCCAGCACTCCTTCCTGGGCAGGCTGTGCCGTCCATGAGTCTGTTTTTATTCAGTTAATAAGTTTGCAAAGGTCCTTCCCTGAGGTCTCTGGGAGCTGTCTCTCCTGGTGGGAACAAGAGGAGTCACCTCTGCCCTCACCATCCCGGGCCACATCCACTTGGAGGGGTGTTAAGAACAGGCTCATCCCAATTTCTCCCATTTTCCATAAAGAAAAATCCCCCCCAAGCAGAATTCCTGCCTCCTCCCACGGAGGGGATATCCCCCCCCCCTTCAGAACCCAAATCAAACTGAGCCCTCCGAGCCTTCCCCATTCTCCCTTCCCTCCCCTCCCGCCTGGAGCTTTGCCCGGCATTTCCCCTGAAATACATCCCAGTGTGGGAACGGTCCCGGCCGTGCTGGGATGCGGCTCCCGGACCCTTCCCGGGGGTTATCTCCGCTGCCCTTCCCGGGTCTCCAGCGGGCACTGGGAGCTGGCAGCCGGCGCGGCCGCTGGGATAACCTTGTGGCTCGGAACGTTGCAGCCATCCCTCTTCTCCCATCAAGCGTTCATTTAGGAAACATTCCACTAAATACCCTTCTGACAGCGCCGGCCCCGGGAGATTGATGCCTCCGGCGCCTCCAGGGCTCGGTGCCAGCGGTGACTTTAAAATGACACCACGACACCCCGGGCCCCTCTCGGCCCCTCCCGGAGCCCCGGTGAGCAGAGGGACAGTCTGGAGGACACTGTGGCCCTGCCCACCCCCATTCCAG